CTAAATTTCCGTAGTAACTTATAACCAAAAAACAGTATCAATTCTCACATATAAAACTTGGAATATCCAAGAATTTTCAGATATAAGTTTGTGAGATGACATTTTGATGCCAATAAAACCTGGGATAAAACAAATTACAGCTCTAGCTATCAGAAATAACCACCGTAACACAGGTATTGTACAGCGTTCCTTTCAGTATTACAGCATTTGCAGTTCTTAATGAGAAAGATGTCATCAAAGCTGCCAGAGATGTCATTTGTTTTTTAAAATTTACATTTTTCTAGCACATCCACTCGCAATATGCTGCGAACGAAACCACTATGTCACATCTGATCACCGTGTCAGCTGCTTTACGAAACTCCATAAGCCCTTTCACAGAATTATTACAGGAGACACTCGGGTGACATGCCTCAGGCAGTTGAACTGGCAAAATCCGTTGCACTGACTCTGCTCACACACCTTAATTCAGTCTCTGTGGGCTGCAGAACCACCTTGTCATCTTTGCTGCCCTGGACTAAAGCTGAGCTATAATCATGGTTGTAAAGCAACAGAAACAGATCCAGGGGAAATTAAACAGCTGAAGGGCGAGTCTCTAGGGGGATGCTAAGCGTAGTAGGCAGTTGGCTAGTTCTTCAGCACAAGCCCCCTTTTCAGAGGAGAGCACCACGCAGGGCCACAAAACATCCCTTTGTGTCATTTGGACTTTCCCACGTTCTGCACTTGGAAATGTTGTTCAAATCGAGGAAGAAATGCACCTTTCCTTATTTCTCCGCTGCAACTGCAAAGAGGTAGGACACACAGGAGCTTTCAGGCAGGGGAGTTCTTCTGATCAAGACCAAGCTTTTGGAAGTAAATTGCACAAATAAGTCTGACAGAATCTAATTATTTTTCCAAAAGAACTAGATTGGGGCAGGGGAAAAGGCCACTGAGTAATGTAAAACTGGAGCACCAGGAGAAGCAGCAAGGACTCGTGACACCCTTCACGTTCAACAGCCTAGATGGCCCCAGTCAGCACAGAAGCAGCTCTCCCAGGGGGCTTGCAGTCAGAGGAATCACCCATCAATTATATATATCCTTTTTTAAAGCAGATCCACTCCATTTCATGGCATCAAATCCCCTGGCAGTTTCCGCCCAGTGCCCTGCAGCCTGCAAGCGCCCCAAGCCCTGGGGAGCCAGCAGTGCTCCTGGGGTGCAGCTCCCAGTGCAGGGCACTCCGCTCTGCCGGCTCTCCCCTCCCAAGGGGGAGCCAGGGAAAGGCCAAGGTATGTGGGCTCCCACGCTCCAGGCGTTTTCACCAGAGCCAACAGACCAGTTTTTCCTTCCCCTAAGGTGTCTGCCTGAAAACGGTTATTTACTGCGATATCATCTTGTATGCAGCAGAAACAAAAGAGCACCTAAGGTCGCACATCTCTGCCACAACCTGCTTGCCTGGGGGTTTCGCGTGCATTAGCGAGACCCTACATTCGCCCTGTCACCCAAGTGCAACTTGCTGGAATCCTCCCTGTAAATGCCATCACTCAAGGTGGTGGTGGAGCTCCCAGAGCGCGACCATGGAAGGATGAATTAGCAGAGTAAATCCTTGCTTTCCTCCCTCCCTCCAAGCATAGAAGGCGTTAATGGCACAATAATCTCTTGCATTCCCCCAACACCAGTGGCACTCATTTAATTAATTACTAGCATGATAAGAGCTGAAAAATTTAAAAAAAATCAGAGAGGGAGACTTCCAGGTAGTCTGAAGAACAGAATTCTTGTGTTGTACCATCAGAATTGATCACACTTTCTTGAGTTTATTAACCAAGAAGCTGAGTTTGATTTAATTCTCCTGAGATGTAGGTTCCCGGATGAGATTTCTATCAGCATTACTACCTGTCATGTAAGAAGTAAGAGTTCCTGACTCCAATAAGTCAGGTAAGCTTAAGATGGGTTCTTCTGAGTCACTGCCCTTCTTGAATAGGTTCCACCTTCCCACCGGTCATGTAGCTGCAGACAGAGTGAGCTGTGACAGGTACACAGGCCATGCAGCACAGCAGTGAGTACCAACAGCATTGAGGCAGAGGTGCATATGCACAAGCTTAAAATACTCTTTGAAAAAAGTATTTTGAAGACATTTAAAGGGTTAGATGAGTTTCTTTGGACACTCTCTTCGGTTTAACTTTAAAGCTCTGCCAATCCCTCTCCTGCTGCACAGCAAGAAGGTTCTCAAACTCTTCCCCCAACGAAACTTACTTCAACTTCTGAACACGCATATTGTGAAATGTTACAGAGACACAACCCGTAGCAGCAGACTCATCAAGTCTCACAATGAAAGACTTTCTGTCAGGAAAAACTTTCTAGAGCAGGAGGAAGCAAAGGAGGAATTAAAAATAGAGGCAAAAATGCATGGTATGCACCCAAGGGTCTGCTCCCGTGGCAAATTGAAGTGATAATGGAATTTTACACTGGACTAGGAAATGGCCTGCTATTGAAAAATAAATGCCAAGACCTTTAACACAAACAAATGTCTGTGTGAAACTGCGGATATTTATTTTGAGAATGGCAGCCCTGACTCTGATCAGATCATTTAATTCTATTTAAATGGTGACTATCATGCTAAATAATCCAGTTTAAAAATACACAGAAGTACCTGGGTAGACCTACACTGGAGTGAGAGAGGTCACTTCTCAAAAAACAAGGTTGGAACCAACAAGAGACTAAAACATACACCATAATATTCATATTGCTCTATTTCACGTTCAGTCATTGTAACCCATTCTGCTCACCAGCATTGCTGATTCTGCGTTACCCGTCACACTCGTCCCTCCATTGAGAGTCCTGTAAACATTTGCTAATCATTTACAGTATTCTACCAATGCTATCAAGAATCAGTGCAATCAACAGTACTTATAATATCAATGCTAATGTTCTCTTTGATTAGAGAATATTATGAATTCTGATTTTGTGATGTACTTCAATTGCCACAGCGTAAGTGAACCACCTTCTTTAAATACACAGATTTTGCACAACTGGCACTTGTATCAGCACGTGCGAAAGTTCCACAGAGGTCGTATTGACATGCTCCAAGTGTCACTAGAAGTCCCTCTGTAGTTTATTAATTGTGCAACAGAACAGGGAAGGGTAGAGCAGCCCTAGGTCATGACAAACTGAGGGTGTTTGGAAGCCATGTAACTTCAGTGGCAACAGATAACACATGAGAAATTACTCCATCTTTGCCACTGGGAAGCACCTAATACTGTTAGCATATGCTTCCAAATCAGAAATAAGCTTTTCTTTTGACCATGTTATCCAGCATATATGAAACCAAACAACGTAACATACCTTTCCCCTTCAGGTTTCACACTTGCAGCATTCTACTAATTCCCATAGCTCATAATGAAGACATTTATTTTAAAGAAGCTGTCAATAAATCAGTGGTTTCGTGTCCTCAGAAGAGGCAAATGGATCACAGAACGCTGGCCCTCAAAGCCTCTGACCAGTTCATGAACACTCGGTTTTACATAGTCACAAAATCTTGAGTGGTGGCTTGCCTTGTTTTATCTCAAATGCTAATGAGGTAGAACCACTTCCTAATAATTAATATTTTTAATTTGAAATGCATAAATAAAATAACCTGGTCCAAATGATTTAGATTATTCACAAGAAATAAAAATAAAAGTAAACCAGTCCCTTCTTAATGTGTGGATGTTGCTACAGTCTGTGGGTTTATATACTGCACATAGTTTTACCTGCTCTATTCTCTACATGTGCAGCTGCCACAGGCAGACAAAGGTTGACTGAGTAGTGTTTTCTAAGAAATAATCTAGCGTGCACAAGGATTTCACAGGCAGCTTCTCCATGGGCAAACACAGTAGTCAGACAGGCCCTGTCACTATGAGAAGTCTATGTGAACTTTCATGACCCAATCAAATCTCCTGTGCCAAGTGAGTCTTTTGTAGCTGTAGCAATGCGTGTCTTCTCTGCAGATGCTACAAAGCAAACTAAAATAAGAAACCAGCAAAGAGACTTCCACAGGAAAACCTGTCATGTTTGAGACACACTTCAAATAACTCAATGCATCCCATTAAAAATAAAAAATTACAACTTCTACTGAAGTTATCTGAAAAAAAATACTCTTCAGCGGATCTAACCAAGGGCAGCATAAATTACGCATATATGAAAAACATAAGTGATGGCACCTAGAATATATGGCACGTATCGTGTTTTGGTCACCATATTTAGATAGCTAGAATAATGGTAAGGAACAAACACTCTGCACATCATGTGCACCATGACTGAACGGCTGAGTCCAGCACATGAATTCTTCCCTGCCCACACTTCCCCTAATTCAGTTAACAATATGTCACCACGTGGAAGGTGTCATTTCCCTAAGTCGCTCTGCTGTTGTTTTCTCCTCTGTCTACATGCTTACTGGAAAGAAAACCCAATAAAAACACACAGATAATATATATTCTAACATAACTCTGTAAAATAGTATTATAATCTGAGGACGATTAGTGTGCTGAGAAAACCCATATGATGTGGGTCACAGTTAATAAGTTTGCATGTCTGAAATTACTGCTTTGTAACTGCATAACGAGAAGACAAAAAAAATGCATTTATGTCCGAGGATAGACAGACACCGCATCCTTTTAACCCACTGCTCTTTTGTCTCACAGCTCTGTTAAACAGTCAGCTGCTGCCAGATGCTCTGCCTAGAAATCTCACAGATGGTCACTTGTCCAGTTAACAGACTAGAAGGCTCTCCTCAAATCTCCCCTAAAATACTACCTCAACTGCAGGCAGCAGATGAGAATATCTGAACACGGTCAAGAGGCCATTTGACCTAGTTCAGACTGTAGGTCAATTCTGTTAATTCAGTCAAGATGAACTCTCCACATCACTCCCGCCAGTAAACTACCTCAACACACTTCTGACATGGTCAAGTCCCAGATTACTTTTGTTGATTAAAGAAGTCCTTTGACTCGGCTGTCTTCCAGTAATGAAGGAATACTTTATATACTCACCTAAACCACTGACAGTATACTCAAGATCACTGGCATCCAACAGAATTGGTCCATTCTCCTGTTGGCCTTCTTCCTTGTAGTACAGCTTGTACCCTTGAATAGCTGCAGTGTCCTCAGAGTCCTGCTGCCACTGTACGGTAATGGTGGTACAGTTCATCGGCTCCAAGCGCAGCTCAGGAGACTTCGGTGCTGGTTTCAGAAAAATATATACAATATTCTTAGATTCTAGAAACAACCAATTTTCACCCAAAAATCTGAATGCCATCAGTCCAAAGTTCACTCAAGACTTTGATTCTATCTCACCCGTGTACTCGCATCATTATTTCTTTATTATGATGTCTGAGTCTCTATAAACTAATCTCACAGTTTAATTTAGGATTAATCAGAATAGAAATTTTTTAATTCTGCTTCTTAATTAACAACTTAAATTAGTCTTCAAATATCAAGCCAATTTGCATATTCAAAACATATCTGCATTTTGTTTGTAATACAGACATACATGCATCAATTCAGATCTTCTAAGTACCTGTACGCACTGCTCATAAGCAACGTCCCAGTCCACAGAAACCTAATTCACACTGTGCAACAATGGGGTTTGGGCTGTTGGATTTCTTTATTCAAATTACGTAGAAAAGAAGAAAACTGTGTTATCAGTGGAAACAAGTCTACAAGCTAAAACTTTTGAGCAACTCACAAATGTGAATTCAAGTTTCCTGCTACCATGTCAAATACATGAATATCGACATGTGGAAACAATCAAAGATTGACACCAAAATAATATGTCAGCTTTTCCTTCTCCTGTCACAAATAAGGCCTTTCACAACAAAAATTAGTTGCTCTTCAACTGTTGATCCTCAGACTATGTATTAACTGCATTTAATTCGTTAAAGGAATCAGGAGTTTCTGCGAATTATGCACAGAATCATGGTTAGGATGCTATTTTCTAGATGACCAGAATAGGAACATGTAATGGGAAAATCCATTTCACATCCTTGCATTGCCTGTCATAAAAACGCATAGCGCTCAGAGGAAGCCTGCAACCGGCCCCACCTCCAGGCTGCTGCTAACGTTAACACTCACCTTTCACACTTGTAGCTTTGGGAGTCCGGTGGGAAGTCCACAAAGATGCCTCTCCCCAGCCAATCCTTGTTGCAGCAGTGATACGAACCAAGTAGACGCTGTCAGGCCTCAGGCCTTCGAGGAGATACTCATCTGAACTCCCTGGAAGCTCCAAGACTTGGATTTTGGTTTCTGTGCTGAGGCGGAAAGACAGACGGTACAGGACCACCTGACCTCTCCTGTATTTTGCAGGAATCGGCAGCCAAGAGATGAGAATATCCGTAGGACTCCTGCTTGTCAGACTAATTTCAGGAGCTCTCAAGGGAACTAAAAAGGAAGAGGCAAAGCTTTTGAGCTCAGGGAAAAGCGAGATGAACATCTGACACCTTAGTCTATGATGAGGTGCCAGTAATGGAAGAGTAAATGACCCAAGAAGTTTCGTAGGTTCTTGTTTATTTTAAGGATGACTCGACACTGCTCATACTCCTCCCCTTCTGCATGCAGTATAGCCTTAGCAAGCTCCTTTCAACATTTTCTACTCTTATTGCTGCCAGCAGTAATCAAAGGCAATCAGCACCTTACTGTGCTGACAAACTGACTGTCAAGGTTAGATGCTGCAGCTCAAAGGGAGTCCAGACAACAACCTGTACTGCTGAAGACTCAGTGCCTGTTCTCTTCTGCCAACCACATAATGAGGGTAGTAACTCCTGGCAGAGACAGGCAGACAACTGGAGCTGGCAATGTCCCACGCTGCCAAAGCTTAACCCCATCAGAACTTACTAATCAGTTCTAAGGAACTATACTAAACAGTATGTTGTGGCCATGATGCTCAGATTAGTAAAATCACTGCACAGAAATGTCAATAGGGTCTTCTGTGAATTTCTGATTCTAACAAGCACACAGGCAAAACCAAAAAAAAAAAAATAACACACTAAACAGTAAACCTTGATTTTTTTTCTGATATAGCAAATTTTTTATTTCAAAACTTAGTTCACAATTTGCAAAAGATGCAGTGGGTGTGCAGTTTGATTCACACTGCAGATGCCCAAGAGAGTCCCAGAGATTAAATCCTAGGTTATCATCAAATTCTCAACACTGAGGGAGTTCTTAAAGATTTAGAATAGTTATTTACGTGATTTAATGAAGTGTCTTCTCACACAGATAAAGACATCACGTAACATACAGTGTTGCCCTGTCAGAATGTTATTTTATTCTCAGTCCTCTCATTAGCTGGCTCAGTCTTACATTTTGTGTGCCCAGAAGTCTCACTGATGTCAGTGGAAATTTGGGATCCTCAAGAGCTGTTAGCACTGGATTGTACTTTTCTATTCAGCGCAACTAAAACCGTGCACGTGAATCAGTGGTATTTGTCTTACCGTCTTCAAGGGTGTGCTGAGTCACATGATCTGACATCTGACTGGCTCCCAGAGGCATATAGGCTACAATATAGAAGGTGTAGTTGCTGGCTGGTTCCAAGTCATCAATAATGTAATGGGTTGTGTCATTTCCAATGACCACTTGGTACTCTTCATTATTTAAACCTGGCATAAAACAAGGATTAGACAAAAATTCCTGACAGTCCGCAAACGTCACAGTATCTTGGCTTTAAGATCTCACACAGTTATTTCATGTTCTTCCCCAGCCTACCTCTATTTTTCCAACCCTAAGTAAAAGCTCTTTTATGCACAGGAGTAACTGTGTCTTGCTGTGGTGTAGATTATGGTGTTTCAGGACTGTCCTGAATAAGGGATGCTGAATGCAATTCTAAACCCTATTTAGAATTAGTCACAACAAACTGTGCCCAGTGTACAGTAACACAACAGACAGGCTCTAATAGCCTTATCATTCATACAGAGCTTGTAAAACTATTTGTTTAGAGTCAGGGTGGGTTTTTTCAAAACCTATTTACAGGGCCTTTCTATAGCAGACTGCGCAGAATGTGAGCGCTCCACTCCATCAAAAACAAAACAAACACCCCCGAAAAAAAGAAACAAACAGAATGAATTTATTCACCGAAAGGATTTCATTTTAGCCCTGCAAATTCTATTGTGTTTGATTGACACGATTTTTCCTTAATTTGGAGAAAGGCCAATAAGAAGAGACCAGAATGAGCTTCAAAAATGTTTGGCTCCTCAGTGAGTTGTTAAAAAAAAAAAAAAGAAAAAAATTCTCAGCAATTCACATTAAAATATGCAGAGCAATGCATGCAGCAACCCTCCTCTTTGTTGGGCTTTATTCCTATAGAGGAAGGCTATAAAGTGGAATAAGTGTGGTGAAAGCTGCTGTGTTAACGAACAATTCACACCAAGTGCATGTCAACTTCATCAAAACTCCGTAAGAGCCGGCTCCTCCTCTTCACAACTGAATTTATAAACAAAACGAAAGGCAAATTCCACCATTAAGTTTTCCCACATTTATGAATTAACTTGATAGCATTTTAATTAGACAAGATTACGAGCATCTCACAACAGACTAGTTAATGGCTTGTTAATTAGGAATTGTAAGGCACGATTTCTGACCTGCTAAACAAGATCCTTGAGCTCAAATTAAAAGGACTTGTTCTCCCATTGAATGGATTGCTAGGCCTCATGCAGAGGCCCTAATGAAACAGCCATAATAGAGAACAAGGCTTGCCTTCCACCACAATCAGTGTTCCCTTTGTGCCTTTTCTAAATCACTAACAAGGAATTAACACACTCCAACATGCACGCTCATCAGACCCTTATTCTTCTTGCTACTATGACCCCGATTTGAATGTAAAATATTCTGCTTAAAGAAACAAAAAACAACACCACAAAAACCCCACCTGTTAGGTTCTTCAACTAACTTGATTACAACACTTTCTTTTTTTTTTTTTTTTGTTAAATAGGGAGAGGACCTGAACCTGTTTTTACAGTGAAACATCAGAATAGCCGAGTTGTGAAATTAAACGATGAGTGATGGTATCTTTTGTATTCAAAGCACCTACCACATTGTGAAGCCTACAGGAAAACCTCTACAAAACTGCACATGATTAGTGTATTATGCAGTTTTTCTTTCTGTTTAAAACTTACGGAATCAGAAGCATCAGCACAATTTAGGAGATTAGCAAGCACTGGTTGTCTTTTGCAATGAAATGTTCTCCACTCACACTGACAAATGTGGTTCCTGACTAAAACAAGAGAGCAGTCCACCAACATGAACACATCGAGTAAAAAGTTACACACGAGAAGCTTTCAGCAAGCAAGATCTTGTCTAGTTAAGTCAGATACATCTGACATTTTTAGTCATCATTAGGGTCTGAAACAGGGTCTGAGGGTGGATTGGGGAAAGACAGACTGAAAGGAATAACAAAAGCAATACATTAATACAAACTATTTACATTAATACATAATTATCCAGAATCCAGTGCCAACAGTCTGTTAGTACCTGGAATGGTGTGCATGTCACCAAAAGATTTTCCCTAATATTTCATTTGCATTTCTTTACATATAGTTGCTTCTAACTTTGCATTAGAGACATGGCTGATGTATACTTTCTCACAAAGTTATGTTCTAGGTTTTTAGTAACGCCTCCGATATATGGGCAACATCCTCAGGAAGGTGCACAGACTATCAGCTAGAAAGGAATATTTTACAAAAGTGCAGCCCACTAGCCTTTGAAGCTCAACATTTTTCCTATGAACTGAGACAAAAGTGGTTTTATGTCCTGATGCAGATCTTCTGGCAGTACCCAATCATGTTATCACAGAAAAAAAATGCATGCAGGTCGCCTACATTTTGATTCCCACCACCATCATTATTCCTCTTAACACAGCCCTTCCCACCCTCCCTGTGTGGATTTCTTTACTAGTGAGAAAGGATGCAGAGCAGCATTATATTAAATAGATAGCACAAGACAGTCTGGAAAGATGAAAAGATGGGTATTTGAGAAAGCCAGTTCAGATAAATCTGAGGGTTTTGTTGGGTGATTTTGTTTGGAGTTTGTTTTGGTTTTTAAACCAAGGCAAGCTACAATCTCATGTCACCTTTGGATAAGCAAGCAAATAACGTGGGGATTGCAAAACGACTTTGCAGACAACACTTTTCAAAAGATACCTCCTTTCACTACTGTGCAAGAGTACTTCCTGCACAAGTACACACTTCCCTAAGGACAGTTTTCCCGTTTTCTTTGAAGTTAGCTCTCTGCTCTCTATGCTGCCACCCAACTTACAATTACCCAGATAACTTACCTAGTGTGACTTTATTCATATTAGCTTTAAGAGAGGGTTGTCAGCACAATACCTCAGTGACTGAAAGCGTAGGGGGCAATTTCCCGCACCTCTTGCCCTCATTATCTTTTAACATCTGTTCCTTCCTTCCTTCCTTCCTTCCTTCAGACAAAATTCTCTTGTGTCCTGAAATATCCCACTTGCAAAAGCAAAGGCAGCTATTCCTGCGTTAGTATTAGAGTAATTAAGCTCTCCTTCCTGTCCTCTGCTTAGCAGATGGCAGACTGGTATTCCACACAGAGCTGAGCATCTGCAGTCCTGTCCTTGAATAAACCACTTACTGAATAGAAATGGAAAAAAGAAATCACTCCTAGAAAACAGAGTTGCATCGCAGCTTAGTTTAAGCCATGCACCTAACAATTTTTCAAGTCATTTGGCAATCACTTTGACTGCTTATAGAAAATGCCCGTTTTCTGTCACCTTAAAGACTACCTTAGCTTAAAGCAATTACATAATTCTAAGGGATTTTAAAATGTCTAGTTACTCATTTTTATACCAACTATCCATTCCCTTTTATATAGGAGTTTATATATCATTTCAGAGACTAGGACAAACCATTCGTGGCTATTTCAGCATATTTTTGAATTTGCGTGTACTTCTCTCAGGAAGTTTTAAGGAGAGGGGATTTTACCATTCAGCCAATATTCATTTTAAGAGAAGACAGTTAAGCCAAGAAAGTATTAATTATTCTACCCCAAAATATATGAAAGCCAGTAAAGTCACAAGAATTTGGGGATCTAGACAAAAGAGCTGTCTCTGGGGAAAAGTTCAACTCCATAAGCCTCCAGGATTCTGCTGTATGCTCTGTCCTTCCCTGCCAAGCACACACATGGAAGAGAGTAGGCAGAAGCTCCTGCTGAGGACACAGGGAAACGCAGATAGCGGTATGGAAAACCCAGGTTTTAAAGTCCCTTCCTAACTTCAAAATCTGGTCACTGGAGAGATCAGACAAAGGTGAGTTGGAAGAACACTCAGTCCCACAAATGAGATGTGGGGTGAAGAGTGTTTTTCCACGAGCATGCCGGTTGATTACATTATTCATTTATATGCTGGAACGCTCCGATACAGCCCTGGTTATGAACCATTCGAATTTGACCGTCTCTGCAAGGACATTTAAGTTCTTGCTACATACAAGTAGTTAAAGAGCACTGAAATCAAACCACTTACCTTCTGCTTTCATGTAATGCACGGAGTACGCAATCACTTTGTCTGAATTATACAGCGGCCTCTCCCATGCTAGCAGGATCGCTGAGCTTGACATCGTTTCGGCATGGACATTGTAAGGTGCACTGGGCCTGTCTTCTGACATAACGACAGTGAGCCTGGCCCTGGAGAGAATAGATCCCTGGCTATTCTCAGCCATGCACTGATAAATGGCGTCGTCTTCAGGAATGATCTGGTTAATCACCAATTTACTGATTCCGAAAAGAAGAAAAAAGATGGAGAAAAAGCTCACATCTTGGATAAACTTGGCTCTACACAATGCAACAAGAGTTATGTTTGCCTCTGCTTCATGATTTAGCGTAACTGACTGACACGCCACAAACTCTGCTATTAGAAATGGATGTGCAGCTGTGAAATTGAGCAACTTGCAGTGTTCCTCAAAACGTGCCACATTATGTTCATGCCTGCAAAGCCAGGCACAATGAAAAAACACCCAATTCTTGACCATCTCTTTAACACGAGCTGCTCACTCTACAGAAGTAGTGAAATTGAGCCTCAAGCAACTAGCAAGTTTCTAGTCTTTGCTACACGACTGTAAATCCAGAGCAACTCTGTGGTGAAATTCTTCAGTTTACCATCCCAGATGAGGCAGTGATCACAAAAGTTCTGCGATACCGACTAATCTGCATTCCTTTTGCCACGGAAATGTCTGTAATTACATTTAATGTCCAATTTCATGCCCGAGTTATCTCTTGCTTTGCTATATTTAGTTACTAGACTATCATCCTCTGGTAGCACATCACTAGCACAGCTCTCATACGGCAACTGTAATCTTACCTGTTGTACATTTTTATTCTACCATTGGAGTGTATTCTCCTTCCATTTTTTAACCATGAAATTTTGGGAGCAGGATTTCCTTCTGCCTGACAGGCAAAACGAGCAGTACCAGCTCTAGGCCTTGTTAAACTTTCCGGCCATTCCACAAATGAAGGTGGAGCTACAGATAAGTAACAAGGGAAAAAAATAAAAATATCAAGCCCCACACATGCAAGGACAGTCAGAAGAGTAATGACCTCTTCCCATACAGACGCCTCTCCTCAGGCACTCGTGTACACATATACCCATGCAGACAGCACATTCCATGTAAACAAAGCACATTTGCTTAAAGATACATACTATCTGCATAGATAGCAACAGTTCTACACATTTTTGTTCATGCATTTATGAATGCAAAAAGATCACACACTCCAGCCTATGACATACTGCTCACCAAGTATACCTATAAATCACATATTTCTGCTTTGTTATGGGATTCTTTTCTGCGTTGAAAGTCTCTCTTCCCCGAGCAAACGTTGTACCTGGCTGTCTCCAGGTGCAAATGAACTGCTAGTTTGCAACTCAAACATCAGCATCTGACACTTCCCATCTAAGTCAAGAGGCAAAGGAGGCAGCCACATCTGTGTAACCTACTTCCTTTCTGCAGTCTCCCTACAGCCCTTGGTGCACTACGCTTGACATAAAAACTCAGCCCAGTACACAGCACAGCTCAGGACAGACACAAGACATGAAAACACACTGTGGAAGTCAAAGCAGGCTCACCCAGCACAGTGAGAGTTGCCATTGCTACGGTGAAGTTTCGTGTGCCTGGAATAGTGGCTCGACAGACATACACCCCTGAATGCTGCACCTTCACGTCAGAGATCATGAGGTTCCCATTTCCAAGGACACGGGTGTTGAAGACATCAATGGACTTATGGTCTGTTTGAGAGAGTGGGAGAAGTGTGGTTACAAGGCGGTTCAATGTAGCTAAATAACTTACCTAACCAGGGTCACCATGGCAGAAACAGCCCAGATTAAAGTCAAACAGTGCAAAGGGAAATCACAGATGAGCTTTCAGGGGCTTCCATTTTGCACCTGTCTTGCTCTTCATTCTAGTTATCTAGCCATTCAGATGGTTGGGTCTCACCACTTGCTAAGTGGTTTATATCTGAAATTCACCATCACAGCTAAAAAACTAATGCCGTTTTCCCAGTCAGCCTCCCCAGCTGCCTTGCACTGTGATTCAGTTCAGCACTAGCAACATCCACATCATCTCTACAAACAGGGATCATCTGTCTCCTCCTGAATTATGCTGGGGATAAAACGAGTAGATTTGATTACCATATATTTTCTTCCATTTTCACAGCAAATACTCTATGACTGTTAGGTACCTTTTTTCTTAAATGCTCGACTATAAGCGCCACTGTATCAACCAGGGAAGACACGTTTATTTCTACAAGTGGGAGAAATAAACATGTAGGAAGACTTTTCATTATTTGCTTGAACAGGTACAGTCCTGACTTTCACATTATGGTTCATGCCAGAATAAAAACAGAGGTGGTTTTCATGGAAAAACATGACACACTGATGGGTGTTATAATTTTTATTGCATTCGCTCTCTTCTCCCCTTTCAGGCAGACTACTCAGGCTTTGGCTACACCTATCCATAGTCCAAACGGCCCATTAACACAAGGTCTAAATCACATTCACACAGTGCTTCTAAGCACGTGGGAAAAAACATCTGCAGGATTATTTCATTGGATGCAACCACTCCAGTGCATCCTAACTCACCATGGACTCTACTCGGAGTCACAGACCCCTGGAGGTCACCACCCTACCCAGCACTTGGCCCACACTCTGCTGGGGGCAGTGCAGATTGACAGCAGAAACCAAAAAATCCAAAGCCTCAGAAAACCTCAGGGCTTCCTAACAGCAGTAACGGAAGTATGCAACTAAAAGTGTTTCACTTGTCCTACCCTAACCTACTAATTGTCATCTCCTACACAACGACTCAGAACTGTAACCTAATTGCTGAAATCATTTCTTTACAGTTTCACTTCCCCTCCACAGGCTGAAGGTTGTATGCTGTAATTTTGAGACCTACCTAACCGGCTCCATGAGATGATTGGCTTTGGATTCCCTGTGGCTACACACTCCAGTATGACAGTTTGATGAAGAGATGCTGTAATGTTTTGAGGACCAGCTATTATTGATGGCTTGTGAAAAGGCTTCAAGTCTGAGGCTTTGGAGAGAGGAAGAAAAAAAATCAACGTGAGAACTATTAAAAATTCAATTAAATATGAAATAAAATGTGGGGTTTTCTTAAAGGATTCTTAAAATAATATTTATTCCAAAGTCTTATTTCAGTAATTTTTTAAAATTACACTGAACAATATTTTAGCTACAAGATACGCGCAAGCAAAATTATTATTCGGGTGAGTGGTTCAGAGGACAGTTACAGCTCTTCAACACCTGTAAGTGGGTTTGCTATAATGTAAAAAATAATATAATGCTATTGAAAAAAATCTCACATGCCGAGTACCTGGAATAACACTCAGCACTGCCTCAGTGCTTTTACGTCTGTTGGCTATCGTGGTGGCAACACATCGGTAATTCCCAGCATCCTTCTGTTCGACGCCATAGATCTGAAGAACTCCTGTAGGTAGAGCGGTTATCCTGCCGCAGAAACAAAAAGAGACATGCAGATAAATGTTCAGCCAGCGAGCAGCATCACAGTATCAACTACTTGATTTACAAACAGCCATTGCTACACTGACCTGGGAACAGCAGGCTGGAGAGTCAAAAGCATTCTCTATCCATGACTCACCTCCCCACACGTCTTAACAACAGGCAAGATTACCCCCAGCACCACCACACAGAGGAATTTACTTTCCATAAGCCAATCTTTCTCACCCTCAGAAGCAACCACCCCAACCTTCTTTAACCAGCTACTACATTCATACTATTCAGGATGGCTGACTTTTGGCAGCCATTTCCAAAATACTGGCGAGACTGGTATACGGTTCCCAGAAACCCACCTATGCTTTCAATTTTTGTCTTTCTCTTTTGCATGCTAAGTATCTCAGACATGTTCGACAAGAGCTACACGTCAAGAAGGTTGGGAGTAGGTACAATGAATACAACCTGGACAGGGAAAGAATCTAGCAGGAAGCAGGCTGTATGCTTCACGGTGACCAGTTCAAGAGACTCTGCAGAATTTCCCTAGTGTTTAGAATAGTCCCTAAGTGTTTTAACTCAACTTTCTGTACATACAATTCTTCATTGGCTCTCTGAAGAGAAACAGTTTCAGCTTCAATTCTGTGAAAGTAACCCCACTAGTTCAAACCACCCCCACAGCCAAAGTCCACCTATTCTGATCCCATAGCAGTTCCCATTCCTGAGGATGACTTGCATACAAAATTCACCAACATCAGTCGAGGCCTGTGTAGACAGCAGCAGGTGATTCTGGTCTGTACTCATAACACCTGTTTAGAAGTCATTAACAACATAACGATTACTAGCTATTTTAATAGTTTACACACTATACACATGGAACAGTTTTTATGTAACAGCATTGCCAGTATTTAGAGTTTCTTCTTGCGGCAGGCTCCAAAGTATCGCAGAAAATATATGACATTTCAGAATGTCTAACTCTACATACCTGTCCATGACTAAAGGCAAAGTTGTTCGATTCACTTCCCATGTCACAGTGGCAGGGGGGTTTGCTGTTATTTTACAGGCAAACCGAGCTACTCCACCTTCTTGGACCTCAGTTGAAAGTGGCTGGACTTCAAATGCAGAAATGGCTGAAAATAAGAGAACATCGAATTTAAAGGACTAAAGCGAGGAAAAATTCCTGGCTAAACCAAACTCCAGATCATAGATCAACTTGCAAAAATACCCAGAAATACTTCAAATAGTCCTCTTTTCTACATGCAAAGAAAGACAGGTCTAATGACCTTATCAACTTTGCTCAATAGCATGGTTTCATTGGTTAAAGGTTTACTTAAAATAACTTTGCTGTAACCTAATTTAGTTTAAAAAAATTTGCAATGAAGATGACACTCTTAAATAGAATTAAGTATTCAAATTGACAGGCATGCAGCTGGAAAGCAAATAAATTATTAAACTAATGAAGTTCATGTCAATTCAAGACCAAAAAAGATGTCAAAGTAAGTTTAATCATGTAAGAACACTTTCATCCCAGCAGTCTGAGCGGTCACCGAGCAGATGCCTGATGCATGGAGCATCAATATAATTTTGAGCATTTAGAACTTAAGGAGTTCACAAAATTGAGCCAACTGAAGTGGCAGATCAATAAATACCTTCCAGCTAACAGACACCTAAGAAATTGATCAGTAGTTGGATTTCTTTGCTCAGAAAATAAAAGACAAAGGGAAAGGAACACAAACCCTTCTAATTAATTGCTTATTTTCCCCTACTTACAACATAATTAACAGAACGTGCAACTCTTCAGAGGCAACTCCTTTTGGATAACACACAACAAATAATTCCACACACATTTCCACACCCTGTAACTGCAGAGGAAACAATCTCTACATAAACTCAATGGTAACGATTTGTTTTTTTAAAAAAGTCAGATTTCACATAGATTTCTACTCTTGTATAAGTTACACAGAAACATGATTTCAGCAGATATTACACAGCTCTTATCATTCAAGTTTTGTGTTGAAAGAATTCCCCAAATTTCCTTGTTAATTAACTGACATGACTCTTCATCTTGTTTGATCTAACACGTTCTCAGTAATGCCCTTCTGTGCAGAGGACACACAGAACTGATGCACCCCCAGCATTCTAACAAACGCCCCTCCGCCCCATCATTTTGACAGGGCTGCACAGCATCAACAGATTAATATTGGAGCGTGAAGGAAATGGGGCATAGCCTGGTTGCTTTCCCCTCCACACAAAAATTAACTCCTTACGTGGTCCTAACTACACAACTTAACAATTACTATTACTGGCATACCTATTTCACATCCCAAGTCAGAATAAATCCTTTCTTCTCACTGCACTGCGGCAGTTGCATCAGCACTGAACAACGAGCATTCCCAATCACACCAGCACAGTCAAAGCATTGCAGCTTTACAAACAGACCTCCCAAAGATTGTGATTAACAAGACAACCGAACCACCTTGTACAGCAAAATCACCACATGCTGCCAACACCATGGCTGCTGGAAACAAGGTCTGGCACCTCAAATGTGATTGAGATGCCCAGGACGCAGAGATGCTCCTTGTAGCCATTTCTATGGCCGGTCCCATGCTTTCGGCAGTGGGTCCCCACAGCCCCTGCACACCCTGCAGTCTGTTCTACCCACCTTCAGCACAGACAGAACTAGCCTCTCTCATGAGCAGAATTTAAACCAGTTCCCTGTGTTCCACGTTTTCTTCTTTCTCTCACTTCTGAGCAGTACCAGGTTCAAGAACAAACCAACCCCACAATTTGTATAAAGATATGTCAACAGAAGTCTTACATTTAAAGCCGTTTGGGGAGAAACATAAAAAGAGTTTTCTCCTTAAACAGACCTTCTTTTGATTGCTAAGGAATCATCGGAAGAAAAGCTGTGTGATGCACAGCTGCACCACACAGCCAGTGCCATAAGAGAGGAGCACGTGAACAAGGCAGAAAGGTCATTATAGAGTCTTACCAAAGCAAAGCTCTTACACACCTTTAAAAGTTTCATCTCCATAGGAACTATAAAAATCGCACCCAGATTTTTCTTATATTGGTACAATTATTTAAAGGGATGGAACAAGACAACAATGGTTTTCATTTATGTATATAAGAGAATGGTTTATTTCCATGCATCCAGTACATAACAGCTGAAGATTGAAGACAGAAGGAAGGGTCTCAAGAACTACGAAGGAAACTGAAGAAAACCAGTATTTCACATAACACAATGTCATCATGATAGCAAGCAAAACCACATTCAGCTACACTATTTGAAAAATCCAATGCAAGTTGTTAATTAAAGCTGATTATTTAATGAATATTCTTCCACTTGAGCAGGAACAACATTTAATCTTTAAAGACAGCAAAAGTCAGAACTACACAGAAATGCACAAAACCTTCAGAAAAACTCATTAATGTCACTAAATGTGGTTTTAGAAACAAAAAATCCCCCACTTCTCTCACCTAAATTTATACATTATCAGTTTAGCTCAATACTTGCTCCTTCTGTATCTAGTTTCTTTACGCAAATCTGTTTTCTCCCTAATTCTGATTTTATTTGTTCCAGTAAAATCTGCTTTTACAAGACTATTGCTGTCTCGTGAAACTCGACCTCTCTGTAACAGCTTGTTTTCATGGCAAGCGCGGGTACCAAGTCAGAACCCCAAGACCAAGTCATTAAAGCAGTGCTGTTAAGAGGCCAGAGCTCTATAAAACGGATAAGAAACAAAGTCTCAAGAGACATACGTTGTTCCTGAAAACAACCCTGCAAAATGCAATAAATGTAAGTGCCTTTTTATTTGAGTTTTCCCTCTCTTTTCCAGTCTATTTAATCATTTTGTTTCTAGATTTATAGCCAAAAGAAAATAATTAATGTTACTCGGAGAAGCTGATGCTCCCACCCTTTTTAACTTGAAAGGTATCAAGTGCTGCTTACAGAAGAAAGTAATAGCTAAAAACTGTATTACTTCTACAAATTCCTGCAACTTCTGTGATAGGAACATCTGTTTGTATAGTTACTTTTGAGTATGAATATCTTTGATGGCATACAACACACAGTTCTGTCTGATAAAGTTATCTATGCAGGAAGAAATCGGAGTTCAGTTCTGGTAGCAGTCCCCTCACCACAGAGGCAAATATCTACGGGGCTCAAACCCCAAAAGATTACTTGCTGCACACGCTGGTTAAATATTAGAGAACACCGCTGGTGTCTCCTGCACCATACATGAATTGAATACTATTCTGCATGCATGCAAAACAATTTTGTTTACCTGAGCAGGTTTACATTGATTTAACTTCTAAGGTACGAAAAAGTAAAACTTAAGAAGCTCATCCCTCACACTTGTTTGCTTCTTTAAATACAGCAGCAGTCCTTCATTAATTTTCATTCAAAAAAAGAGAGAAACAAACAAACAGAAAAGAAACACAACACCCATGTCATTCACTCCTGAAGCCCATTCAAAGACAAGTCCAGGTGACCTGTTCCTTTACATGCCGCACTTCCTACTCCCACACTTTGGTCATTAAGTGGTTTTTATGAATGAGCTTTCTTCAGAGGCAAAAGCAATACCAACCGCCGACAGGTTTGTTCCTGTTCAAGCTCGCTGGTTTCGTCACAGCTGACACCAGGCCAAGACTGGACCGCAACTGTAGAATAAAGATATAGCAAGAGTGGAAGGTAAAACCCCCGACTGAAATTACTCGCTGAGCTGAAACAGTAGCACAGAACTGGGTTTCATCCAAGCTGAACGCAGCAAATATTGAGAAACTCTCCAGCACATGATATCAACCACTTAAGTGTTTCTCAAGAGATAATGGCCATTCAGACAGATCAACTGCTCAGGTGGAAAGAGCAAAAGTGCATAATGCCATTTGTACAACTTACATGTTAATGCTATTGAGCATTACACAATAGCCCTAACCCTTCAAATGAAACCAAGAATCTATTCCTTTTTTTTTTTTTTAATTCTCAGGTGAAGAGGTTCCACTTGAGAAAAATAAACCTGTGTGCTAGGGAACAGCTATGGCTTTTTCCAAAGAAATTAATTTCAGGACAGAATATGACAAACTCAGTACTGAATTTTCTTGTTCAAGACGCGCTCTCTCTCTGAAACAATGTTTAAAAACGCAACACATGTACCTGTATTACATTTTAGTACAGAAGCTAACTTGCACACATTTCCTTGAGTTCGGTGCAATTCCTCAGTCCTTCCAGGATCGAGGCGTAAATCAGATTATGAAAGGAGCTCTGATTTGCTACTCAAATGGCACAGTCTGGTCTGGATCTAGAATGGGAATGATCTTTACATGAGCACTGACACATTCAGACATGCAGTGAGACTACAGCCAGCCATTCTCCCTGTTTCTGATGAAGCAGTTGGAGTCCACAGGGCTGGAGCTGTTGTCAAGTGATCCAGTGGCTGGATCTTTGCAGAGTTTCCCAGGGCATGCTAGTAAAAATTTAATCAAGTATTTCAGAGCTCAAGCTCTGCTCAGTACATACAGTTCAGTGGTGAATGCCACACAAATGGAGCAAAATGAATAAAGTTTTTCATAATTATAAGTGAAAAGGGATTACCATGAAAGCATTCTGTATGTGCTACTACAACCAGAGTGACTTCTTACATTCACCCTTAAAGTTTTAATCAAGTGTTGTTTGACCTGGCAGTATTATTTTTAAAGTGTGAGGCATAAAAATGAGAGATTTCAGGAGAAAACAGAACCTGAGTAAGGAAAGATTAAAAGAGCTGGGACCTGATTAGGAAAGGAAAGTTACAGTCTTGCAAATATCCAAAGGAGATACTAGAGCCCACAGGGAACGATGACTCTCACTAATCCATAAGAACAGAAAAAGCAGGAGGAGGTTTTAGCTCTAGCAGGTGAAGCTCAGGGAAGGCAGTTAAAGGGAAAAGTATTAGTATGGAGCAGCAATACAACTGCTAGCAAAAGGGATGCCTGGGCTGTAACCTACCTGCCTGAAGGCAGTGACAGTGCTCCTGCCACTCTCCTCACACCAAATGCTACAGCAAAGACCCTTTTACAAAGAGAAGAATTTTGTCCTTCAGAAACATCCAGAATCTATTAGGGGTCAGGTTTGGGGTTTCACCCCAGCCCACCCCCCCTTAGGCAAGAGGACAATTCAGAGT